GTTCATTATAGATAGAGATAGTAGTAAGGAGCAAGAATGTTCAGTAAAGTAAGATCTACAAACACATCACCATCACCAAAACACAATTTTGTCATGAATCCATCTGTGTCCTTTGTTTAATATGCACATAGACCAAGGTGAGCGACACAGGCTCTTTAGAGCTTCTAGTTTAAATTGGTCTACATTAAGGTCCAAAGGGTCCAAAATTAAACTTAGTTTGATTTTAACAAAAATTGAATTCTTGGGGTTCTTTGATATGCTGAATCTATCCATGTATTTTGATTTTGGACATTGGACCATAATAGGTAAATTAAAAAAAATCAAGTTCTTAGACCACATTCTTTCTGTGTCAGAAACCTATGCTGTGTCAAATATTTAATCACAATCCAAATTCAGAGCTGTATCAAGCTTGAATGTTGTGTCCATACTTGCCCCAACTGTTCAGGGTTCGACCTCTCGGTCGTATCAAGCTGCGCCCAGCGAAGCATTTTATTATTAAATTGTTTTGTAATTTTAGGAATATATTCTTCTGCAAAATATATACATTTTTGATGAATTATATACATTTTAGCAACAGAAATTTTGTCTGAAGCAACTTCACATTTACTTATTTTCTGTTCGATGGGAAACTATCAAATAAAATGCTTGAAAATAAACAATATAAATAAGAAGATGTGGTATGAGTGCCAATGAGACAACTCTCCATCCAGGTCACAATGTATAAAAAGTTTAACAATTATAGGTCAAAGTACGGCCTTCAACATGGAGCCTTGGCTCACACTAAACAGCAAGCTATAAAGGGCCCCAAAAATGACTAGTGTAAAACAATTCAAACAGGAAAACCAACGGTCTAATCTGTATAAAAGACGTGAAACAAGAAATACCTGAACTACACCAACAAACGACAACCACTGAACAACAGGCTCCTGACTTAAGATTTGTTTACCTTGAATGACTGTTTGCTTTAAGAGACTTAGACCACATGAAATACTCATACATTTGAATTAACCTTTATAACAAATTTATATTAACAATGTTTAAGGAGTCAAATTTCAACTATCTTGATATTTTGATGAGATACTCTTGACAAAATGTGAGTTCAAATATTGTAGACTTGACCAACTGTAGCAGATTTTAAGTTTCCATGTCCAACTTGTTTAAAAGTTTCAACTGATTTTAAATTATTATGAGAATAACAAAAACATCTGTTTTTAATGTTTTCCAACTGACATATAACGAAAAACAAAATATTGAGCAAGCAATTTAAAAATAACTTTGATGCAAGAAACAAGCAGACCATGATATATATGTCTGTTATTACATGTTTCTGAATCAGTATATAAGCTAGGGTCAATAGACAGTCTTTCTCATTGTTTCTAAATGGTGTCAGTAGTTTACTAAGGATTTTTATTTTTCCTTTTTTACCACATAATTACATTTGCTTGGATTATAACTTGTATACATTGAATTGCTAATAAATAAAGTTTATTACAAATAAACAGAATTCTATTGAAATTACAATACTGTGGATTCATTTGTTTTTGTGGATACTGATTTTTGTGGATTAAGGAAAAATTTCATTTTTGTGGATATTTAGTTTCGGGGTTTTTGTCTCGCCTTGACGGAGTCAAAAAGCGAGACATAGGTATGCTGTTTCCGGCGACGGTGGCGTCGGCATCAACAATGTATTAATTTGTGATTAGGTCTAGTTCATGGTGAACCACTAGTGGTAGGTCAATGATATTTGGTATGCAGTTATATTAGCATTGGCACATCTCATTACCATGGAGATTATTGGCCCCGCACCCTCAGTCAAGGTCTATTGACTTTGATACTTTTCATAGTTTACATGTATTAGTTTGTGATTAGGTCAATTTATGGGGAACCACTAGTGGTAAGTCACTGATATTTGGTATGCAGTTGTATAAGCATGGGCATATCTCATTTCCATGGAGATTATTTGGCTCCGCCCCCTTAGTCATGGTCTATAGACTTTGTAAATTTTGCTAAGTTAACATGTATTAGTTTGTGATTAGGTCAGTTCAAGGGGAACCATTAGTGGTAGGCCAATGTTAATTGGTGTTCAGTTGTATAAGCATTAGCACATCTCATTTCCATGGAGAATATTTGGCCCCGCCCCCTCAGTCATGGTCTATTTACTTTGAAACTTTTGCTTAGTTTACATGTATTAGTTTGTGATTAGATCAGTTTAAGAATAACTGCTAATGTTAAGTCAATGATATTTGATATGCAAATTTATTGGCATTTGCAAGTATTGTTTCCATGGAGATTATATAGCCCCACCCCTGATCATGGTTCAATGACTTTGAAACTTTTACATAGTTTACAAGTTAATGTTTGTGTTTAGGTTTGTTTAAAGGGAACGACTTATAATAAGTCAATGGTATTTGGTATGCAGTTGTATTAGCATTGGCACATCTCATTCCATGGAGATTGTTTAGCCATGTACCTTCAGTCATGGTTCATCGACTTTGAATATTTTCATAACTTACATGTTAAAGTATTGCTATTTTAATTTCAACATTTGCATTATCAAAATTACAAAAAGGCGAGACATATTTCTGTGATAACAGTTTATTCAATAAATCTGCAAGATGAGTACTTCGTTGAACATTTAAATTCTTGGTTCAACTGTACCCATAATATCCTTGAAAATTGGTATCCCATGAATAATAATGAAACCACAGTATTAAAAAGTCCAGATTTACTGGCAAAAACTGTAAAATGAATTTATGCTACTTAAAGGGGCACTAGCTACGAGATATATAAAAAATCTAATATATGATTTTTTTTTGTTCAATCATTAATGAAAGTGAAATAGTGAAATAATTATTCGCTTTTAGCCGCCAGTATGGTTCAATTTTGTCAAAATAAGCTAAGAAACATTGATGATGAATTATTCACTTGCAAGTGAATAATTCAACCTCATTGAATCCGTATTCATGTGAACTTCAATTTAACCCCTTAGCTAGAGATGGATAACACGTGAATTGTATGTGTAAAGTTATTTAAAGGAAAAGAATGTCAACATTGAAAGTGAAACAAAGGTAAATCATTTGATTGACTGATCCGATCCACAAAAAATCATTCTTATACAGGTAAAAACGATGATAAACATATATCTTTAATCTATAATATGAAATTAATCAGACCTAGAAAAATCCAATAGTATGAGTTCGCTTAATCTATTTATATCTTTATTTATGTTTACATCGCTTATATGGTCATGGGATGATTTTGGAGGTCAACTCGATAGTTACCCGGTAATTAAATGGCATCTAGACTAAAATACACACGAAACGAAGCTACATGTTATCATGCCCATGTCCATGTTTACAGTTTATTTTAGACTTTAAATAGTTTGGATAAATGTTTTACATTGTTATAAATCAAATATGAGAATTTGAGTCAAATCGGTGAACATGAATTTGACAGCTAGTGCCCCTTTAAAACAGAAACATTTTATTGACCTGTTTTGCTTTTGCTGTTTAATGTTATAGCTAATGAGCTTTGCTTCCTAAGTTTGAAGTCAGCTATTTGTTGTTTTTTTGTATGCTTAATTTATCCTTTTCAAATTCTTGTTATTATACCCCAACTCTAGGATAGGGGGCTATATTGCAATCACCTTGTCTGTCCATCCCTCTGTTTGTCCATCTGTCCTTCTGTCTGTCCATCCCTCTGTTTGTCTATCTGTCCTTCTGTCTGTCCATCCCTCTGTTTGTCCATCTGTCCTTCTGTCTGTCTGTTTGCCCGTATGTCAGTCCATTCATTCTTCCAACAATTATTTTCATTACACTTATCTTTGAAACTGCTAAACAGAAAGACTTCGTATTTGGACAGCAGATTTCAGATCTGTTAGACACATACCTGCTGTATGCTGAATGTATGAATTATGAGTGGGTATGCTAGCATGACAGCTTGTGCATTTTTGCAATTTTTATGAACAATTTTGTTTGACAGCTTGTGCATTTTTGCAATTTTTATGAACAATTTTGTTTGATAATTTTATACCATCACTCTAGGAGAGAGGACTACAATGTATATATTGTTGCATTCCACCTTATCCACCCATTTGTCCAGCAAATATTTTTCTTCACACTTTTCCCATGCATTACTAACAGAATGAGTTCATATTTGGTCAGCAGCTTGACCGTGATGAGTTGTAACGCGTTGGCACTTTTTGGATCTCTCAGTAACCTTCTTACTGTTTGCTAATACTTACAATTTTTCAATATGTTAAATGAATTTAATATTTTGTCAATTTTGCATTTTTGTGCAGATTACAGAATTATTTCAATCTGACATTAAAGTAAATGCAGTTTAATTTTCAGATGTGAGGAACAAAGTGTATTGTTTTAAGAAGAGTTTATTCTTAATGTAGTCATTTTTCACAATGTTATTTTTTGCAGAACATTAGAAAATATATAAATTGAATCAGTAATAAAGTTTATACCTAGATATTGTTAAATTTTAAACACTTTGGAACATGCTCTGATTATGTTAGTGACTTGAAATATTATAAGTAATATTAATATGAAAGGTAATTTTGCAAAATATATTTCAGTTTCTGTAGATGGACAATATTTGGAATAGGTTTACTTGTGTTCTATAGTTTATGTTTTAAACATTTTCCCATTCAATCTATTTCAATCAAATTACTTATTCCATTTAATTTATTCCTTAATCTTGAATAATAAACTCAATTTGATATATTCCTTTTATGTAAATATCAGGGAATTCTTAGCATACTTAAAAATATCTTGATACACTTTACTGTAAAAGTGAAAATTAATGAATGACAGTTTTAGAGATTTATTTAGAAAATTGGTAGTTCATGGGTTCTGAAATTTGTGGTTTGGATTTTGCACTGTGCAAATTGTTTTATATTAAACTTTCTATCTATAACTAACAGCAAAATCCAAAAATATTAACACTTTCTTAGAACGCCATTTTATATCATTTTCTGTCTTTTTTTCCAGGGTTCTCTATCAGCTTGTGAGTTTTTAATGTTAAATGGTGCCAAACTAGACAGGGAAGATAAAAACAAACGGATGCCATTACACCATGCTGTTATGCATGGCAATACAGGGTAAGTTGATGAAAAACATGAAGACTCCATTTGCCCTCTTATTGACACTTCTCCTTTTACCCCAGGTATGTATACAAGAATTTAATTACACTGATTTCTCCTGACACTGATGAAGTCATCAGGTAGGTTTGTAAGAAGTGGTTCCGATGACACATTGGTTTCCAGACAATAACTTTAGTTTAAGTGAATGGATCTCTATGAAATTTTTTAAGAAGGTTCAATACCACAAAAGGAAGGTTGGTATTGATTTTGCACATGATGGTCCCAACCATTTAGGAATAAGGGGTCCAAAACAAGCATTTTTCTAGTTTCAGGACAATAACTTGTGTATAAGTATTTTGATTGCTCTGAAATTGTACCACAATGTTTAATACCACAAGTAGAAGTATTGGATTCATTTTAGGGGTTATGGGGGCCAACAGTTTAGGAATTAAGGGCCAAAAAGGGGACAAAAACAAGCATTTTTCTAGTTTCCAGACAATAACTTGTGTGTAAGTGTATGGATCTCTCTGACATTGTACCACAAGGTTCCATATAACAAAGGGAAGGCTTGGATTGAGTTTGGGGTTAATTGCCCTAAACATGTAGGAATTAGGGGCCAAAAAAGGGCCAAAAACAAGCTTTTTTCAATTTTTTAGACAATAACTTGTGTGTAAGTGTATGGATCTCTCTGACATTGTACCACAAGGTTCCATATAACAAAGGGAAGGCTAGGATTGAGTTTGGGGTTAATTGCCCCAAACATGTAGGAATTAGGGGCCAAAAACAAGCATTTTTCTAGTTTCCAGACAATAACTTGTGTGTAAGTGTATGGATCTCTCTGAAATTGTACTACAAGGTTCCATACTACAAAGGAAAGGCTGGGATGGAGTTTTGGGGTTATTGCTCCAAGGGGGGTTTCAAAAAGTTGGGGGGGGGGGGGGGAAATTTTTTTCTAATTTTTTAAGGAATTCATATTATTTTTTTCAAAATTTTTAAAATTTGGAATTTTTGAAAAGTTTCAAGAAGAAATCTTCAATTGCACAGTATTGCGCAATGGATTTATAAGATCTTTGACCACATTTATTTTGTGTCAGAAACCTATATTATGTCAAAAAATGTCAGACAGTATCAAGCTTGAATATTGTGTCCAAATTTGCCCCAACTGTTCAGGGTTCGACCTCTGCTGTCGTATCAGGCTGTGTTCAGCGAAGAATTTTATTGATTTTACATGACATGTTTCAGCATGATGAGAATTTTGTTGAAAAATTGATTATGAGTTTCAGGCTTTACCAGATGAGGCATGAAAGGTTAAACTTGGCTTATTTAAGATCTTGAGCAGGCAATTAAGCAGAAACACACAATGTTTATAATTGTTTTTCTTACAAACAATATTTGACTTCTTTTTTACCTTTTTTCAGACAAGTTTGTCAGTTTCTGAAGAGGGGTGCTAACCTTCATTCACCTGATGCCAATGGAAAGGTAAGAAAAAAATGTCTGGCTACTTAAGGCAACTAGATTACCATTTCATATTTGAAAATTAGAAAAAACAGCTCATAATTTGGAAACCTAATTCAAAATGAAGTAGATTCAACAGGAAGCTAGCTTAGTTAACCACAGATGTAAGTTTGATACTGCTGATAAAACAATCAGAAACAACACTCCTTACAGATCTCATCAAGTCTCATCATTCAAATTTAATTGAATTAGCATCAAGACTGATTGTTTCATTAAACCTATTTTAGCTTACCTTGCTCAAAGGGGTGTATAATTGTTATAACTTTGCATCCAAATCAAATACTGTATATTCAGAAATTATTGCGTGCATTTATTATTGCGATTTTGTCATTTTAGACTAAAATGCGATTTTTTTAATTTTTGCGATATTGAGAAAAATCCTGTTTAATTCATATAAAAAATTTCAAAATGCGAGTTTAAATTATTGCGATTATAACCCTGTCGCATTTTTCGCAATAATAAAAACATCACAATAATTTCTGAATTTACAGTATGTTATTAAGATATCTCTATAAACCAATTTAAGTCAAACTGAATTGCACTATTGGTATAATTTTCCCAAAAATATAATTGACAAATTTTTTAAAATTTCTGGTAAAGTTGGGTCTGTATTAAGTGAGATATATTGACTCCTAGTAGTCTGATGAATTGTTCACATTTATAGAAAGAAACCCTATTATAGCAGTACTTCCACTTTAGATATAAGTTCATGACTCTCTTAAGGTAAACAATTGGTCCATTCTACTAGACAATATTTTCTGTTGAATATAACGTTTTTGAAGTGTCATGCCAACTTGATACATTTTATCAGTTTATAAAAAAGAATTTATAAAAATATTGGACACCCTTGCAATAGAACAAATCAACATTATCAAGAAACAGAATAGTAAGTTAAACCAGAGAGAATTACCCAGGCATCCTGAGTTGTTTATTTGTAAAACAATACTTATTTTTTACAACAGGATCCATTACAGATAGCTGTAGATGCTGCTAATGCAGATATTGTCACACTGTAAGTACTCACCTGTTGACTAAGGATACAAATATAAGAAGATTTGAATTAAATATCACTGAGGCAGCAACACTTCAACACAATATTACTAAAATATGTATTTATTGATCAACATTGAACTAAAAAAAAGATCAACAAAACAAAACCATGTTAAAAGTTTCCTAATCTTGTTCTAGATATGCATTATAAACTTGTTGCTGGACATTAATCAGCCATCAATCAATTGTAATGGTATTCTACTATTTTGAATGGATTTCTAAGGAAAAGTGATATCCTTCAATAATGAATATTGATGATGCCTTCACTGAAATAATCTTGATGTGTTTGTTTTTATAATAATATGGTGTTATCAGGCAATATTAACAGTATTTGTAGAATTGCTTTACCAGTTATCAATACAAATGTCCTCAATGATAACTCCTGTATATGTACCTGCAGGAATGTTTGTGTTTTTATGGCTGATTTTTATTATGCCCGTTTACGGTATGTATTACGGTATACTGTTGTTTGTCTGTCCATCCGTCGTCAACATGTCGGACAATAACTCAAAAATGCTTTAACCAATTTTTATGAAACATTAGTGAATTGTTTATATCTATTGATGTAAGCTCCCTTTGAATTTTTATAAATTTTAGATTTTACGTTTCCAAGTCATGAGATTTTATTCATAAAAAAAGGGAGAATTTTCCAGTTTTCGGACAATAACTCAAAAATGCTTTGAGCAGTTTTCATGAAACTTTGGTGACTGGTTTATATCTATTAAAATAAGCTCCCTTTAGTTTTTGTCTCGCCCGGCGAAGAAAGTTAAGTTTTCTGATTAAGTTAGTTTGATAGGATCTACTTGTTAAAGATCAATGATATTTTGTATGAAGTTGCATTACTATCAGTACATATCAGTTTGACGACTATTTTGAGGCCCTGCCCCCTAGGACATGGTCCAGTGACTTTAAATTAATACGCAATTTTCAATGTTAAGTTTTTCTGCTTAAGTCAATTTGATAAGATTGATTGATTGTTGGTTGCTAACGTCCAGTGAAGTCAGTTTGATAAGAACTACTTGTGATAGATCAATGATATTTTGTATGAAGTTGCATTACTATCAGTACATATCAATTTGACGACTATTTTGAGGCCCTGTCCCCTGGGAAATGGTCCAGTGACTTTAAATTAATTTGCAATTTTCAATGTTAAGTTTTTCTGCTTAAGTTATATTAATAGGAACTACTTACAATAAACAACGAAATTTTTTATAAAGTTACATAACTGTCTGTACCTCTCAGTTTGTCAACCATTTTCAGGCCCTGCCCACTAGATCATGGTCCAGTGATTGAATTAATAGACAATGTTGCTGTCCATCAGATTGTCTTTTTATGAATTTTATGCCATTAGGCGAGACATATCTCTGTGTCAACAGTTTATTTATAAATTTCTGATATGATATTGAGGAGTAATGGAACTTTTTATTCGTTGAAAAAGTAAAGGCGTATCATGCGCGCATGGTGCAGCTCTTTATTATTGAGAGTCTCTTATGTCAGTGCATCTTACTTGTCTCCTTGTTTCCCTTGACAAAGAATAGGATTAAAACTGTCAATTAGTTTTTTTTTATAATTGAAAAAAGATGAAAGCCAGGTATTATATTATAATATTATTTTTATTTTAGATTAAGACTTGCCAAATTAAATGAGCAAATGAAAGAAGATAGTGACATGGGGAATACTGATGATACATTTAATGAGGTGTTCAGAGACTTTTCTAATATGGCTTCAAATAATCCTGAATTATTACGGCGACATGTGGAACAAACTGACCAATCAGAATCTATGGACAATAGCGTTGAACAAAGTCCAACTTGATATTGGATATTAGTTTAGAAATTTTCCAATATTTTAATGCATTTGGGGTCAAAGTTTAGTGCAATAGACGACTTAGTAACTTTCTGTTTATAATAATTGTCATATTACTTTTGCTAATGGTTGCTAATATCTGTGGCTTGTGTTTTCTTGTAATCGATGGTTTTCAATTTTGCATTTAGTTAATGAAAAATGTACCTTTGGCTCGCTGTGAAATTCAATGGAATAAATGAACCAACAGTATCAATTAAAATTGGTATGCTATGATTAAAAGAGTTAGACTGTATACATCACATTCAAGGTACTGCCAAGAAATGGTTTCTTCTTCAAATGTACCTTCTCACTATTCCAAGTTTGTCCAGTTTGCAGATTTGAAAACCACAAAATATGCTGTACATGCTTGCTAAATAGACAAGTCAAAGCTAATAGTATAATCTGCTTTCAGGTGCAGCTCCAAAGATAGGGAATACTAAAAAGTGCCACTCCTCTCAATTATGATTAGATAGCCAAACATACCCCCCAAAACAAATATTCTGAACGTGCACCTGTAAAATACTTGTTTGTTAATTGTACAGCTAGAAGTGGACAAAACCATCACAAATGGAGATTTGTCATGTATGATGTATGGCATTGTATGCTATTTTATTCTGTTTTATAAAATGCTGGACATTGCTTTATACCATGACATAAAAAAGAAGGGACCAGTTCCTACAAAATTTAAGCACAAAAAAAATAAAACTGTCTCAATAGTATAAATTCATTAAACAGAATGGGTTGCTTTAAATGTCATTTTAAAACATTTCTGCCTAATGTGATTTAGTCAATAGTGACTTATTTTATCTAGATTGATTGTATGCTTTTCAGAAACTGTTTTGAACAAGTGACCATTTCCTTATTAATGTTTGTTCAAGAAAAGATCCAAATATCATGGGTCAAATTTAGTAATCACTGGGGTCAAGTAAAGTAATCACTTGGTTCAAATGAAGTAATCATTGGGGTCAAATGAAGTAGTCACTGGGGTCAAATGAAGTTTAATAAAAGCAGTTGGTTGAACATTTTGCAGACAGCAGTATCTCTTAACTATAAAAAGATTGTACTGGTGAAACTTATGAAGTGCTTCTGTATTACGATTTAAATTTCTCATAAAAACTCCAATGTAAGAGCCTTGCCTGTTGTTTTGGTACATGTACAAGTATTACCACTCCAGGAAAATTGGGACCGTTTCTGGAAGGGTCATATATGGGGAAAATGGTCAATATTGTCTTGCTTGATATACACCTTAAATATCAAAATGTTATACAGTTTGAAATTTAAATATTATTTTTGTTAAGAGAGTTGATGCGTGATCAGTGTGTTTATGTATGAGTGCATTGTGTTATATTTTTTATAGATGTTCGCTGGCTTAAGTATGGTTTGATTCTAATCATGCATCATTCATTTTTGTGAGAGTAATTTTGTTAAGTATTGTTGTTATTTTTAATGGCAGTAGTAAAAAGGGATAGAAAGGTTTGATCACTAGTTAACCAGATGAAATTAAAAATTTATTATCAATATTTATGTCCTTTCTACAAAGATTTAAAAATCAATGCATTATTACCAATGTCTGTCTCCAAGTGCATTTATATGGTTTTAAAAGTCAAATTTAAATATATTTCTGATAATGCACCTATACTGCTTTTTACTACTATAAACCAACTTATTTTCGTTGGTAGAAAGCAACACCAACATTAATGTCACAAATATGTTAGATTAGGATCTTACATTATATAAATATGTCAAGAAAATTAGAAAATCACAAAAATAAATGGCTTCTAAGTCCGTAAAATAAAGTATCCACGAAAACAAGTTGGTTTACATAATTGACAGCATTTAGTCAAATAGAAAATAGGTAATAGTTATAACATCTGAAGGGTTTAAATCTCATATCAAATTTTACCTCGGACAGTGAAAGTCTCAAAACGTAGATCGTAGACATCATACGTAATTTGAATAAATCCCTCGATACCCTCTTAAAGCCACATTGGTGCCGAACAAAAATACAATTTTGAGAGGGTTATGAAATGGATTTGTTGAAATATTTTTATGTTTTAAAAAGTATTATCCAAAACATTGCCAGATAAGCATTTTCTGTTTATGCATACAATTTGTCTTTTTTAAAGTATATATTTTGTGATTAAATGTTTTTGCTTATGTTTTTCTTGATTCCAGTATTGTGCAATAACTACAAGCTGTGTTTTATGACTCATATATATATTGTAAATATATTCAGAAGTGTTGTCAGGTTTTCTGATTTCTAATTTTCACTTACCTTTATATACATATATAAACTATTTAATTATTTTGTGGATGAGATGAAGATAAAGGGTTTTTGTTGGAGTTGTCATGTTCTCAGCAGGGCATTCACATGTTCTTCATTACTGACAAGCATGCATTTTATATACATAAAAAGAAAAATCTTAAAATGTCAATAACCAGTTATATAAAATCACCACATTGACAATTTAATATAAAATAGGGAGATGTAATATGATTGCAAATAATGTAGATGTTAGCAACTATAGGTCACTGTATTGCCTTCAACAATGAGCAAAACCCACACTGCATACCAAGCTACAAAAGGCCTTATTTTTATAGTCAATTTGAGATTTTTCAGTGCATTTAACATGGTATAACAATCCAGATAGTCATGATGGGTGTGTGTATTTCTAAGATTCAGTTAAAACATGTATTATTGTTTGTAAAACCAAAAACAATAGTGAACATTATAATAAGAAGACAAAAAAGGGGGCTTTAAGTATAAATATAGGAAATGATGACAATTGTAGTTGGTGCTCTATTAGGGTAACCCCCTTAAGTCACAAGGTCACTAAGTCACTTTTAAGCAAATTTTAACAATAACAATGTGGTTTTCCCGTTTGAATGGTTTTACACTCGTAATTTTTGGGGCCCTTTATAGCTTGCTGTTCAGTGTGAGCCAAGGCTCTGTGTTGAAGACCGTACTTTGACCTAAAATGGTTTACTTTTATAAATTTTGACTTTGAGGGAGAGTTGTCTCATTGGCACTCATACCACATCTTCTTATTTCCAATTAAAGGTCACAGGTCTTTTTTTGAATTAAAACATCAGGTCACAAGGTTGTCTGCCAAACTTAAGGTTGCCGGTTGGATTTGACCTTGTTGGAGTCACATATTTTGACACACAAATTTAAAAAGAATATCAAAATATCGTAGTACATTCTTGTTTAAGATGAAAAGCAATTTCTTATTCAAGCTTGTTTATTTTGCTAATTATCTGATAGAAGTTGATAGGAACTTTGAGCTTGATTGAATTAAGTGTAAACAAATAGTAGGTTAGGATTGTAGGACAAAGGATTGTGGACAGAAATTGTTTTTCTTACTGACAGCTACTTTTAAACATTAGGTACGAAGTTGACAAAAAAAAAGATGACTTCTTTTGTTTCAAATAATATTTCACTATTAGCAATCAGTATGGTTCAATTTTGTCAAATAAGCTTAAAAACATCACTGATATATTATTAGCTTGCAAGTTAATAATTCAATGTCATTTAAATTGGTGTTCATGTGAACTTAAATTTCACTATTTAACTGGATATCAGTCTAGTCTAAACTATATATGAAAAACTGATACATTATAATGAGTCAATGCATTGTTAACTGTTTCTTTAGAACTTTTTTGTAATTTGGATATACGTTTTAGTATGTTATGAATCAAAAAAGGAGAATTTGAGTAGATTTGAATGATAATTTACATAATAAAAAAAACAAAGGATATGGGGTATCCATCAATGACACAAAATCAGTACATGCACAGCAAAAAACATACAAAAAGCAAAGAAACAACGCTTTTTTTGCTGTTCTTCATCTCAAAGTCACAGTGACCTTCAACAAGGAGCATAAAAACTCACCTCACTGCAAGTTTAAGACGACCCCTAGCACCAGCTTGAGTAAGTTACATAATTTGACAGCTAATGCCCTTTAAGAGGTAACTAATTTCCCATGTATTTTATTTACAGTTTACCGTTAAATATTTTTCAATAATCTAGCATATACTCATTAAATACAAATTTTTTTTCTGCAATTAATTAAGTTCTTATTAATTTTGTTTTATAAATACTAAAATTATTCTAAAATTTAACAGTTGCATTTTAGCATCAATGGGTATTTTTAATTTGATCACATGTTTAGTAAAATGCCATAATGTTGCTAGCTATCGAGGATTTTTGAAAAATAACTGGTGTGAAAAAAAGGGGAAATTGGCTCTACCTCTTACTAATTCTTGTGACAGTACAATATTTTAGCCTTATTATATAAATTGCTTCATATGCTTATTAAAGTTTTGCATAATATGGAAATAAGAATATCTCAGAAAATCAAATGTCTGTTATAATGTTTTCATGAGAACTGTGTTATTGTTTCAAATGGTATATATTTTAAGTCCTTGAATTGTTTTAGTTTATTTTATTTTTGTCTGATATATGTATCAATTAAAATTGTATAAATTTATCATTTTATTGTATATTTTATATTTACCCCTGCTTGTAAAAATCCATGATAAGAGGAAACAAAAAGACTATTGAAACACATTTAAAGTAGAAGGTACACTTGAAAAAACTTTGAAACCAATCCTGTACACGTTAACTTACCGAAGATTGATCCAGACCTTTTCTGTGCTTACTTCGAATATGGTTTACTCCAAGCTGAAGTTATATCGTGATCAGGGCGGCATTATATCGATTGATGAAATAATATAAAATATTACTGTTTCTTAATATTAACATCAAATGAGTATATTGTGATATGCCTTTTAGAATTAAAAAAAGTGAGTACATGGACTGGAATTACTCCCTCCCTTTCAAATCTAAAATGTCAACCCTCAATATTCTCATTTACACTTACACTTTTACGACTGTTTTGTACCAAATTTTTAAGGGATTTTTGATTTTTAGTCAATTTCTGTTTTTGTTTATATTTGTTGCCACGCAGACAAACAGATAGATATATAAATATTGTATTTTAAAAAGCTTTCTAAATAATGTAAGGTTTAAGTGCTTCATTACCATCAACTTGGACCAAAATTACCTGTGCTATAAATTCCTTCAATTTTTATGCCCCACCTAGGGGCATTATGTTTTTCGGTCTGTGCGTCCGATCTTCCATCCGTCTGTCCCGCTTTAGGTTAAATAGATATAAGAAGATGTGGTATGAGTGCCAATGAGACAACTCTCCATCCAAGTCAAAATTTATAAAAGTAATCCATTATGGGTCAAAGTACGGTCCTCAACATGGAGTCTTGGCTCACACCGAACAGCAAGCTATTATGGGCCCCAAAAATTACTAGTGTAAAACCATTCAAACGGGAAAACCAACGGTCTAATCTATATAAAAACGAGAAACGAGAAACACTTATGAACAACATCAACAAACGACAACTTCTGAACATCAGATTCCTGTTTTGGTCAAAGTAGTTTTTGATGCAGTTGAAGTCCAATCAACTTGAAACTTAGTACATATGTTCCCTATGATATGATCTTTCTAATTTTAATGCCAAATTAGAGTTTTGACCCCAATTTCACGGTCCATTGAACATAGAAAATGATAGTGCAATTGGGGCATCCGTGTACTGTGGACACATTCTTGTTTTAAAGTACTCTCAATCAAAATAAAGCAGCATAAAATTATTTTGTTTCAGTTTTTAACATGATAAATTATGTAAATTAATAAATCCTGCGAGTTTTAGTGAAAAAAAAAATGAAATTTCAAATTTTTAGAAATTTCTGTCATTTTGTGTTCTATTTCTTTCTTTGAGCCAATCATTCTGTTAAAATCATACTATTGTGTTGAAATTGCCACTATGAATCATTTTTTCCTCAACCACAAATTTGAATCATAGATGCCAGCAAGACAGTAAAAGAAGAAAAATACTAACCTGACCCAATACAAAACGGGAACAGTAGATGGCTTATTTCTGTTTCGGTTGCTCACCAAATTTTGTCAGTATCACGGAACTATAAACAACTGTCATTCTAGTGGGAGGTTTACCAAGCTATCAAACGGAGGTTTACCAAGCTATCAAACCCTTTTTAACCCTCCATTTTCTGCCTGTACCAAATCAGGAATTTGACAGTTTTCCATTTTATCCTTTGTTTGATATAGTCGAGCATTTGATTTTGTCATTTTTTTTTTATACTTTTTGGATAACAACCCTTAAAAACAAATATGCATGTCATGGTTAGAATACGTATTCTGTACTACAATTGAATGCTCATCAGAATTTGTATTGCAATTGGGGATGAATGAAAATCTTGTGTATAAAGAGAATCGAGTTGTCATCATCATTATGACTCTCTTATAAGGAGTATAACACATTTGATTCCTCATCAATCACTTTGTCATGCCTTTGCTTATCACGATTTACCTCCTATTCAACTAAAGCATCAATAAGTGTTTGAGGAATGATTTTGCCATCCACATGTTTAGATTATAGGTTACCATCCACTTACCCTTATTCTTGGACATTTGCGTGCCAAGATTTTGGGCGAAGCAATGAGACCTCGTCAGGAATATGACAGTTGTTTTCCACTCCTTCCGTTTGTTGATAACGTTTGATTTTGTAAGTTTTTTATGGCTACATAGAAATGGAATGTTTTATTGGAAAGCTGAACTCATCTCTTTTGTCTGAAAGTTTTATCCTTAAACAAACCTCATTGTAAATTTCTAGATGTAAGTCAGGGCAAGAGGAAGACTTTACTGTATCCCTTAATATAAATTCGATGGGATAGATGCAAAAGAGGGACGAAAGATACCAGAGAGACAGTCAAACTCATAGATCGAAAACAAACTGACAACGCCATGGCCAAAAATAAAAAGACAAACAGACAAACAATAATACAGATGACACAACATAGAAAACTAAAGACTAAGCAACACGAACCCCACCAAAAACTGGGGGTGATCTCAGGTGCTCCGGGAGGGTAAGCAGATCCTGCTCCACATATGGCACCCGTCGTGTTGCTTATTTTATTACAAATCCGGTAAATAGTCTAATTCGGTAGGTCACATTCGTGAAAAGGGAACATAGTCCGTAAAGTTCTTTATTTGTTTTAGAAATTGTTGCAAAAAGTTTGACGAAGTACTATCCTGATGTTTATTTCATGTATTATGTCTGCCCCTTTCAAGAGAGGCGAATGATACCAAAGGGACATTCAAACTCATAAGTAGAAAATAAACTAACAACGCCAGGGCTAAAAAAAAAGAAACAGACAAACAACAGTACACAAAACACAACATGGAAAACTAAAGCCTGAGCAACACGAACCCGACACTAAAATCTTCAAACTACTTTTGTATCACAAATTGAACATGCATTATATCAAGCAAAACAATCCATGTACTGTGGACACATTCTTGTTTTAAAGTACTCTCAATCAAAATAAAACAGCATAAAATTATTTTGTTTCAGTTTTTAACTTTATAAATTATGTAAATTAATAAATCCTGCGAGTTTTAGTGAAAAAAAAAATGAAATTTCTGTCATTTTGTGTTCTATTTCTTTCTTTGAGCCAATCATTCTGTTAAAACCATACTATTGTGTTGAAATTGCCACTATGAATCATTTTTTCCTCAACCAAAAATTTGAATCATAGATGCCAGCAAGACACTAAAAAAAAGAAAAATACTAACCTAACCCAATACAAAACGGGAACAGTAGATGGCTTATTTCTGTTTCGGTTGCTCACCAAATTTTGTCAGTATCACGGAACTATAAACAACTGTCATTCTAGTGGGAGGTTTATCAAGCTATCAAACCCTATTTAACCCTCCATTTTCTGCCTGTTCCAAATCAGGAGTTTGACAGTTTTCCATTCTATCCTTTGTTTGATATAGTCGAGCATTTGATTTTGTCATAATTTTTTGGATAACAACCCTTAAAAACAAATATGCATGTCATGGTTAGAATACGTATTCTGTACTACAATTGAATGCTCATCAGAATTTGTATTGCAATGGGGATGAATGAAAATCTTGTGTATAAAGAGAATCGAGTTGTCATCATCATTATGACTCTCTTATAAGGAGTATAACACATTTGATTCCTCATCAATCACTTTGTCATGCGTTTGCTTTCACGATTTACCTCCTCTTCAACCAAAGCATCAATAAGTGTTTGAGGAATGATTTTGCCATCCATATGTTTAGATTATAGGTTACCATCCACTTACCCTTATTCTTGGACATTTGCGTGCAAAGATTTTGGGGCGAAGCAATGAGACCTCGTCAGGAATATGACAGTTGTTTTCACTCCTTCCGTTTGTTGATAACGTTTGATTTTGTAAGTTTTTTATGGACTTCTCCTTTCTATATGCCCGTTTACGGTACGTATTATGGTAAACCGTTGTCCGTTTGTCCGTCCGTCCGTCGGTCGTCAACATATTGGACAATAACTAAAAACTGCTTTAACCAATTTGCATGAAACTTTGGTGAATTGTTCATATCTATTGACGTGTGTCATACACTTATCCGGGAATTACTCTTAATCTGGAAATTACTCTTACGATATACTCTTATCCAGGAATATTTTTTTTTATCTAATAAACATATCTGCAGTATTCAGAAGAAGTTCTACTTTTTGAGTACAAAAATTGAATAAAGTTTTATTTTTGATGGCCTATACTTTGATCTTACACTGACATAAGAATGTAGCTGGTGGGATCTAAAATAATGTCTAGTTAAATATTTTTGAATTTTCTCAAATGCTGAAAATTTTGAATATCTAAATCATTATTTAATCAAAGATTAATGCTATCAAAAGCCTCGATGTAATATTTTGTTTCGTTGAAAATTGATCCATTTTTTTTTAATTTTCCGGGTTAAGGGTATCGGATTAAAGGTAAATTCCTAGGTTAAGGGTAATTTCCGGATAAGTGTATGACAGACGTGAGCTCGCTTTCGATTTTTATAAATTTTAGATTTTACGTTTCCGTGTTATGGGTTTTATTCATTAAAAAGGGGGATTTTCCAGTTTTTGGACAATAACTCAAAAGTGCTTTGAGCCGTTTTCATGAAACTTTGGTGACTGGTTTATATCTATGAAAGTAACCTCCCTTAAGTTTTTTTTATACATTCTGAAATGACATTGAGGAGTTATGGAACTTTATTCTCTGAAAAAACGACGGGTGTATCATGCGCTCATGGCGCATCTCTTTATTGAATATACCTTGGAGTTCGGTATTTTGTAATACTTTTTTCAGAAAACATATTTAGATTCGAAGAACGATGCAATATTCTGTTGTTAGTTGATTCATTATAACCGTCTACATATTCAATTCAATATTTGTTTTATATGCCCGTTTACGGGACGTATTTTTTTTAGTTTAATTGACGACCACATACACATTTAATATTGAAGGATGTTAGAAGGGCTACGAAACTTGCGACTTACATTAAGATCTTGTCTCACTTAGGTTGAATTATCTAATCCGATATGTTTTGCTTCTGTTTGCACATGGAGAGCTAATATTCTAACAGCTTTCACAACCAACGTCTATACATGTTTCTAGAATGTTGTCCAACAATTGCATACGGAAATGGTGACATATAAATGTGTCTCAAAAGTGAATCGATGTTAAACGTAACCATACAAGTACAATAAAAGAGAAGCGAAAGATACGAAAGGGATATTCAAACTCATAAGTTGAAAACAAACTGACAATACCATGGCGAAAAATAAAAAAACGACGAAAAATAACAATCCACAAAAACAACATAGAAAACTAAAGACTGAGCAACACGAACCCCATCAAAAACCTGGGTGATGTGAGGTGCTCCGGAAGGGTAAGCAGATCATGCTCTACATGTTGCACCCGTCGTGTTACTCATGTAAGTACAAATCTGTTGATAAGTAAAATTTGGAGGTCACATTCAAGGAGGAAAGGATTGTGGTGACAAAACTTGAAACATATCCGTCGTCAACTGTGAAACAGATATTCCATAACGGTCAACCAACTCGTGATGGTGTCCTTTGCATTTTCGAAAGGATGATTTAAACTTTACTTCTTGGAACTCTTGGTTCAATAGCAGCAACACTCTATCAAGGAAATCATGATAGACAGTGCAATCTCATGCTGTTTTGCTCACACATTGTTGTCAATATAGTGGGATTCTATGCGACGGTCATATAAATGAGAGGTTTAGCTAGATATAAAACCATTTGTATTTTTTGTTATTTTACTTTTTGCTACATAGAAATGAAATGTTTTATTGGGAAGCTGAACTCATCTCTTTTGTCTGAAAGTTTTATCCTTAAACAAACTCATTGTAAATTTCTAGATGTAAGTCAGGGCAAGAGGAAGACTTTACTGTATCCCTTAATTCAAATTCGATGGGATAGATGCAACATAGTCCGTAAAGTTTTTTATTTGTATTAGAAATTGTTGCAAAAAGTTTGACGAAGTACTACCCTGATGTTTATTTCATGTATTATGTCTGTCCCTTTCAAGAGAGGCGAATGATATCAAAGGGACATTCAAACTCATTAGTAGAAAATAAACTGACAACGCCATGGCTAAAAAAAAAGAAACAGACAAACAACAGTACACAAAACACAACATGGAAAACTAAAGACTGAGCAACACGAACCCGACACTAAAATCTTCAAACTACTTTTGTATCACAAATTGAACATGTATAATATCAAGCAAAACAATTCACGGACTGTCCACAGAAATTTGCAAAATAAAGGCAACAGTAGCATACCGCTGTTCGAAATTCATAAATCGATTGAGAAAAAACAAATCCGGGTTACAAACTAAAACTGAGTGAAACACATCAAATATAAGAGGAGAACAAAGACACAACAGAAATACTAAAATGCAACACGACACAGAAACGAACTATAAGATAACAATAGCCATTTTCCTGACTTGGTACAGGACATTTTAAGAAAAATGGTGGGTTGAACCTGGTTTTGTTGCTAGCCAAACCTCCCGCTTTAATGACAAACCAAGTAACAATCAAAACATATAAGGTGACAAAAGAAATTATCACAACAAAATAAATCCACACAACACGCTCACAAAGCACTTCACAAATAACAAAATATAAGCAACACGAATCCCACAAACAATCGGATTGAACTAAGGTTCTCTGGAAGGGCCCGAAGGTGTTCGACTAATGTCATCCGCATTTTATTCCAGTCAGAATACAACAAGATGTAAGATATTTATAAGTACAAAATCCAAATAATTGGGTTGCTACGAAATAACACAAATAAACTATTAACAATACAAATATGTAACATTTATAAAATGCTAGTCCGCATGCCTCTCCTCAAATTATCATAACATTATAACTAGAACAGTAAAAAGAAGAAATGCTCAATTGTTCGTGTTTTTCTGTAATCATACATCTCACTTATGCCATACACAATATTAATCAATATGTCATACTTTTTACAAAAAAAAGGAAAATTTTGTTTTATTACTCAATCATTGAATTAAAATAAGGAGAAATATCAGAAATTCATTCAACATTTTCATTCTAGAATTATTGAGATGTGTACGAAATGGAATTTATCTTCTACCTCTTCATTACAAGATGGATTGGACACTCTTTTTTCTACAGCTGTTTTATTATATCTACAGTTATAGCTAGCGTGCTGTTACATATTCTTATTTTGGCATATCTGTTTTTATAAATTTTTCATCTGAATTCAATAAAAGATATTTTTTAAGTTCATACGTCAAGTGATCAAAAGACATCACAAAATAACGATTGGAAAATGTCTCTTATCTAATCAGTTATCTTCCCATCAACTTGGTCGAATGTGGAAGTTTGAATTGAACACATGGTTTTTCGAATACAATACAAAGGAAGGATAACATTAAGGAACAAATGAAACACACCGTGCAACAATAAAACTTGGTGTTTTTTTCTAAATATACATGTCTGAATAGGTTAGTTATTCTCTCTGATTATAAACAATGGCTTTTTTAAATAATTTTACACTTTTGCGGGCTGTGCGGCTTTTTCGACGTATGTGGCACATAGCCGCTTTAGCTGTTTTGAGGTTTCTTCCGCAACCACACATGATCCCTTCAGCAGGAAAATTTACAGTAAACCATCGTGGGAAAGAAACTGAATTAGATATGAATCTGCCTCCTTTTCTGTCCCTTTTCTTCCTTTTCATAAAACTAAGTTTAAGTTTGTCGATTGCCTCCTTCCATTCTACAATCAAAATTTTATTTTTATTATTTTGATAAGGTAGTTTGAAAGTATTATCAAAAAGATCATAAGTGTCATTTTATACTTCTTCTTATATCGAAGTTTTTAAAAGTATAATTAGATACTTGTGTACAAGCTCATAAGCACAACAACTAAAAGATAGAATGTGAAATCAAATATGATACGATAGAAATAAGAAGATGTGGTATGAGTGCCAATGAGACAACTCTCCATCCAAGTCACAATGTGTAAAAAGTAAACAATTATAGGTCAAATTATGGCCTTCAACACCGAGACTTGGCTCACACCCTAGCACTTAATAATTGAAAAAAAATTGGATCACCGGGGTCATTTTCTTGTCACATAAAAAAGTTTTTTTTATTCTTTTCAGTGCATTTTTATATTAAACCTATTTATCTCCCTTGTTAAAGCAATGTTTTTTTAATATATTGTCGTATTACACATGTCTCCTTAGTATACATTTGTAATCTTTTGCTGTTCAAGATGATTAAAACTACCAGACATTAAGGGGGTACCCAACACTTTGACTAAATTAGATTTGGCTCTTTCAATTTTCATAAAATTTAGACAAAATATAGTCTTTGACCTGTTGACAAACATAAAAAGATTTCAAGAAATTTGAATTTGCACAATTTACAGGATACATAACAGTTTGACAAACACTAATTTTGATCATTGAGAAGCTTGCTTTCTCTTTACTAATAGTATGTGATTAAAACGGTCAGCTAATTTTAAAAGAAGAGTTAACTCCCTTAAGTGTTCTGAACACCCTTAATAAAGCAATATGTCTTATTGTCAATTCAATTTCTACAGTCAATATGTATTTATCAGTTCATTTATGGACCGAGAAACAAGGCAGGAGAAATGACACATAGTATTAGTACTTTAAACCAGACTTCAGTCGACTAAGAGTAATTGGTATTCATCAAACAAATAAACGTTAAGGTGTAAATAAAAGAAAAACATGAGGTATTTTCAATAAGTCAACAATGACGGCTGACCAAAATATTTTTACTGTCAAAACAAAGTTAACATTAAGGACCACCACCCCAATGTTTTACCTTAGTTGTAATATGCTCAGAAAGAAAGCATAAAAATATAACAAAAACAATTGAAAAGGTTGCTTACAGAGCACCTGGGATAACCCCCTAGTTTTTGGTGTTGCTCAGTCTTTAGTTTTTGATGTAGTGTTTTGAAATCTTATTTGTCTGTTGATAAATATTCAGTATCAACTTTACAAATAATATATGATGGTCTTGAAGTATAGATTCTAGGTACTGAAGTTGTTTATCATCTTAATTACGTGTTTTAGTGTTCTTTTATTTGTCTTTGTAAATTATAATCCTTTATTGTTTAGTCCATTTTTGGTAATATCCTTTTGGCGTGGCTCGGTATTTCCCGCCATTGTGTTATTGTGCTTTGGTCTTTTTTTGTATTCCTGTCTTTCATTTTTGCCTATGTGCTTTGTCTTTATGCCATTTTGTTTTTCTTTGTTGACATATTTGTGTGTTTTATAATGATTAAGATTATAACGCAATGTTGACTGCTGTACCCCTATTTTTGACATTTTTACCTATTATGTCTGTTTGTTTTGTTCACACATTGTTGTCACTATAATGGAATTGTATGCAACTGTCATATAAGTGAGAGGTTTCCATTTTCTACATAAGGAAATGTCTGTACCAAGTCAGGAGTATGACAGTTGATTTCCATTCGTTTGATGTGTTTGAGCTTTTGATTTTGCCATTTGATAAGGAACTTTCCATTTTGAATTTTCCTTGGAGTTTGTTATTTTTGTTATTTTACTTTTTTGCTATGTTGCTGTCAGTTTATCTCGACTTCTAAGTTTTGAATGTCTCTTAAATACAGTATCTTCCGTCCCACCTTTTTTTTATATGTAACACAAAGATTAGTGTTTTCGGACAATTTAACAGAATTGAAACTTATCTTATGACATTCTAAACAACTTGTTTCCATTCAGCTAATTGAACGGCTAATCTAGAAGATGTCGTTGCAATTAAAATGCAGTTGATCGAGGTGGAATGTTGGCAGACAATGTTTCGTCGCCAGTGTAAATACGAACGATTTATACAATATCATCTTATTACACATGAAGGATTAATATTTGCTGACGTTTCAGCCTATAGATAAAATCATCATCATAGATACGTATTATTTCATAAAACTTGTTCGTAATACAGATTTCTGGTATGTTATCATTAGTTAGATAGCTTGTAAAGATTAGTACACTATTTGGGGAGGCATTCAACTGTTTTTTGCTGGATCAATTACATTTGTGTGTTAGAGGAGAGGCGTTTTCTCACCTTACCAAGTCTTAAAAAAAAGTTATGCGCTATCCAAAAATGAAACGGATATCTAATAATGAAACATTAATATGAATTTATTCTTATCAATCTATCATTCATCTGTTGACGTTTCTGAAGAAACGATATGAACTGAAAGTTAAATTTTAAATAAGAATTGTAGTTTTTCACCTAGGCTTAACATTAGAGATTCAAATGATTAAATTTTTTTAACGTAAAAAAACACATATTATACCTATTTGTCCTTGACTGTAGGTTTCATCCTGTGCTGTAAGCTAAAAAAAAAGATGAAATGAATTAAGCCTTTTCTTGTAAAAATGTACGAGTTACATATGTTAAATAAACACGGTAATATTCATTATAAAAAGCTGTATTGAGGTAATAGATAAATCTGAATTGTCATTCCAACAAGACCTTCCGATATATAATTCTCATAATTAAAAAAATAATAGTATAGGTTCGTGGCTCACCTTGATTCGTTATTACATTCAAAACTTTAAAAAAAGTCAAATGCCCACGATGTTTACACAAACCAGTGACATGTGTCAAGCAGCCACCAGTCGTATGGACGGTGCACGATTAAACAAAACTGGTTTGTGGTCCCTCAAATTAAAACATAGACCTGATTCATTTTGTTTCCAAATGAAAAATTGTGTGAGATTGGAATCGCGTTCCATGAAAGAAATGAGAAAACTGATACCTGTACAATTTCTTGTATCTGCTGAGAAGTCTTCGAGTTTTGACATGTTTCACTGCAATATTAAACATTCGATTTTAAACACAAATGAATAAAACCCATAAAAATGTTCTCTAAGATTGCAATTAAATTTAATTAAAGATGAATACATTTTATGTCAAACTTATTGGTGTAATTTTGTTTTTACAATTTTGGGCTGTATGGACCAATAATGACTCCTAACCATCACACTCAAAATGTTCATCATCGGTGCAAGCCCTAATATTCATTTGTCTTTGCCGAGACTTGAGTTCGCGAGAGTTAATTTGACGCATATATAAGCTGAATACTCTGGTTCCATTATCGAATGAGACTTATTACCACCGAATTTGCACTAACATAGCAACACGACGGGTGTTACATGTGGAGCAGGGTTTGCACCTGAGAACACGTCCGGATTTTTGTGGGGTTTGTATTAAGTTTTCTATATTTTTAAGTAGACTGTTGTATGTCTTTTTGTCGATTTTCATTATTTTTTGCAATGAAGTTGTAAGTTTGTCTTCGACTTGAGATTGAATATTCTTTTGACTTTCTTATATGATTTACTATTCTCAAGTCGCTAGATTACCTTGCAATTTTATTATATATACATGTACATACACTATAATTACAAATCTAAACAATTGTTTTCAGTTTTGTATTAACACTGTGCATTTACTTCTGTAATTGGTTTGCAGACAGTGAGATGCATAATGATTTCTTCAATACGCTCTTTTTTCCATAACTATAAATAGATATCGTATATGCATATTGGAAATCGTATTTTCAGGACCTTCTGAGATGACCCCTGGTTTTGGTTTGTGTTTGTGTTGCTCAGTCTCTATTTGTTGCGTTTTAGTAGACTGTTGTTTGCCTTTAGGAGGTTTTTCGTTTATTGCTATACCGTTGTCAGTTTGTTTTCGACTTATGAGTTTGATTTGAATGCCTCTGTGGTATCCTTCGCTTTTCTTTTGTAAGAGCATTTGTGTTAAGAAAATGTTGCAAACCCTTCGATTAAGAGCTATTCTTTACAGTTTAAAGAATGTTATTTTCTTAAGACTTCAAAATCAATGAATTTATCAGAAATCGATCCAGTTGCAATTGGTCCATTGATATTCATTTAATGTTAGTTGAACTAATCAGTACATAGAAACGTCTAAATATTCATAGTGTATGTTGTCGTGTTTTTAAGTTTATAATCAATATGATTATTAGTTTTAAACTGGCATACAAACCTTAAAGAAGGATCATTGTCTTCATTCAAATTGCAAAATGGTCGCTGAGCATACCCTTTGGCTTTTAATTTTACGTGTGCCGACTTCTTTTTCTGTAGTTCCGTGTATCTGTTCGTAGTTAGTGGTACGTTGTCTACTAAACAAAAAGATCATACGTGTCATTTTATACTTCTTCTTATATCGAAGTTTTTAAAAGTATAATTGAATACTTGTGTACAAGCTCATAAGCACAACAACTAAAAGATAGAATGTGAAATCAAATATGATACGATAGAAATAAAAAGATGTGGTATGAGTGCCAATGAGACAACTCTCCATCCAAGTCACAATGTGTAAAAAGTAAACAATTATAGGTCAAATTATGGCCTTCAACACCGAGCCTTGGCTCACGCCCTAGCACTTTATAATTGAAAAAAAATTGGATCACCGGGGTCATTTTCTTGTCACATCAAAAAGTTTTTTTTATTCTTTTCAGTGCATTTTTATATTAAACCTATTTATCTCCCTTGTTAAAGCAATGTTTTGTTGAAAATATATTGTCGTATTACACATGTCTCCTTAGTATACATTTGTAATCATATGCTGTTCAAGATGATTAAAACTACCAGACATTAAGGGGGTACCCAACACTTTGACTAAATTAGATTTGGCTCTTTCAATTTTCATAAAATTTAGACAAAATATAGACTTTGACCTGTTGACAAACATAAAAAGATTTCAAGAAATTTGAATTTGCACAATTTACAGGATACATAACAGTTTGACAAACACTAATTTTGATCATTGAGAAGCTTGCTTTCTCTTGACTAATAGTATGTGATTAAAACGTTCAGCTAATTTTAAAAGAAGAGTTTACTCCCTTAAGTGTTCTGAACACCCTTAATAAAGCAATATGTCTTATTGTTAATTCAATTTCTACAGTCAATATGTATTTATCAGTTCATTTATGGACCGAGAAACAAGGCAGGAGAAATGACACATAGTATTAGTACTTTAAACCAGACTTCAGTCGACTAAGAGTAATTGGTATTCATCAAACAAATAAACGTTAAGGTGTAAATAAAAGAAAAACATGAGGTATTTTCAATAAGTCAACAATGACGGCTGGCCAAAATAATTTTACTGTCAAAACAAAGTTTACATTAAGGAACACCACCCCAATGTTTTACCTTAGTTGTAATATGCTCAGAAAGAAAGCATAAAGATATAACAAAAACAATTGAAAAGGTTGCTTACCCTAACAGAGCACCTGGAATAACCCCCTAGTTTTTGGTGTTGCTCAGTTTTTGATTTTTGATGTAGTGTTTTGAAAACTTATTTGTCTGTTGATAAATATTCAGTATCAACTTTACAAATAATATATGATGGTCTTGAAGTATTGATTCTATGTACTGAAGTTGTTTATCATCTTAATTACGTGTTATAGTGTTCATTTATTTGTCTTTGTAAATTATTAACCTTTATTGTTTAGTCCATTTTTGGTAATATCCTTTTGGTGTGGCTCGGTACTTCCCGCCATTATGTTATTGTGCTTTGGTCATTTTTTGTATTCCTGTCTTTCATTTTTGCTTATGTGCTTTGTTTTTATTCCATTTTGTTTTTCTTTCTTTGTTGACATATTTGTTTGTTTTATAATGATTAAGATTATAACGCAATGTTGACTGCTGTACCCTATTTTTGACATTTTTAACTATTATGTCTGTTTGTTTTGTTCACACATAGTTGTCAATATAATGGAATTGTATGCGACTGTCATATAAGTGAGAGGTTTCCATTTTCTACATAAGGAAATGTCTGTACCAAGTCAGGAGTATGACAGTTGATTTCCATTCGTTTGATGTGTTTGAGCTTTTGATTTTGCCATTTGATAAGGAACTTTCCATTTTGAATTTTCCTTGGAGTTTGTTATTTTTGTTATTTTACTTTTTCATAGTTTTTCCTTTTTTGCTATGTTGCTGTCAGTTTATCTTGACTTATAAGTTTTGAATGTCTCCTAAATACAGTATCTTCCGCCCCCTTTTTTATATGTAAGAGTATTCTTTTTCCAATACAAAGATTAGTCTTTTCGGACAATTTAACAGAATTGAAACATATCTTATGACATTCTTAACAACTTGTTTCTATTCAACTAGTTGAACGGCTAATCTAGAAGATGTCGTTGCAATTAAAATGCAGTTGATCGAAGTTGAATGTTGGCAGACAATGTTTCGTCGCCAGTGTAAATACGAACGATTTATACAATATCATTTTATTACACATGAAGGATTAATATTTGCTGACGTTTCAGCCGATAAATAAAATCATCATCATAGATACGTGATATTTCATAAGACTTGTTCATAATACAGATTTCTGGTATGTTATCATTAGTCAGATAGCTTGTAAAGATTAATACACTATTTCGGGAGGCATACAACTGTTTTTTGCTGGATCAATAACATTTGTGTGTTAGAGGAGAGGCGTTTTCTCACCTTACCAAGTCTTAAAAAAAAGTTAAGCGCTATCAAAAAATGAAACGGATATCTTACAATGAAAAATTAATATGAATTTATTCTTATCAATCTATCATTCATCTGTTGACGTTTCTAAAGAAACGATATGCACTGAAAGTTAAATTTAAATAAAAATTGTAGTTTTTCACCTAGGCCTAACATTAGAGATTCAAATTATTAATTTTGTTTAAGGTAAAAAAAAACCCAAATTATACCTATATGTCCTTGACTGTAGGTCTCATCCTGTGCTGTAAGCTAAAAAAAGAGGAAATGAATTAAGCCTTTTTTGTAAAAATGTACGAATTACATGTTAAATGAACACGCTAATATTCATTTTAAAAAACTGTATTGAGATAATAAATAAATCTGAATTGTCATACCACTAAGACCTTCCGGTATATAATTCTCATAATTAAAAACAATAATAGTATAGGTTCATGGCTCACCTTGATTCGTTATTACATTCAAAACTTTAAAAGAAGTCAAATGCCCACGAACTTTACACAAACCAGTGACATGTGTCAAGCAGCCACCAGTCGTATGGACGGTGCACGATTAAACCAAACTGACTTGTGGTCCCTCAAATTAAAACATAGACCTGATTCATTTTGTTTCCAAATGAAAAAAAAATGTGTGAGATTGGAATCGCCTTCCATGTAAGAAATAAGAAAACTGATACCTGTACAATTTCTTGTATCTGCTGAGAAGTCTTCGAGTTTTGACATGTTTCACTGCAATATTAAACATTCGATTTTAAACACAAATGAATAAAACCCATAAAAATGTTCTCTAAGATTGCAATTAAATTTAATTAAAGATGAATACATTTTATGTCGAACTTTTTGGTGTAATTTTGTTTTTACAATTTTGGGCTGTATGGAACACTAATGACTCCTAACCATCACACTCAAAATGGTCATCATCGGTGCAAGCCCTAATATTCATTTGTCTTTGCCGAGACTTGAGTTCGCGAGAGTCAATTTGACGCATATATAAGCTGAATACTCTGGTTCCATTATCGAATGAGACTTATTACCACCGAATTTGCACTAACATAGCAACACGACGGGTGTTACATGTGGGGCAGGGTTTGCACCTGAGAACACGTCCGAATTTTTGTGGGGTTTGTATTAAGTTTTCTATGTTTTTAAGTAGACTGTTGTATGTCTTTTTGTCGATTTTCATTTTTTTGCAATGAAGTTGTAAGTTTATCTTCAACTTGAATTTGAATATTCTTTTCGTATCTTTTGACTTTCTAATATGATTTACTATTCTCAAGTCGCTAGATTACCTTGCAATTTTATTATATATACATGTACATACACTATAATTATAAATTTAAACAATTGTTTTCAGTTTTGTATTAACACTGAGCATTTTCTTCTTTAATTGGTTTGCAGACAGTGAGATGCATAATGATTTCTTCAATACGCTCTTTTTCCCATAACTATAAATAGATATCGTATGTGCATGTTTGAAATCGTATTTTCAGGAGCTTCTGAGATCACCCCTGGTTTTGGTTGGTGTTTGTGTTGCTCAGTCTCTAGTTTTCTATGTTGCGTTTTGTAGACTGTTGTTTTCCTTTAGGTTTTTCGTTTATTGCTATGCCGTTGTCAGTTTGTTTTCGACTTATGAGTTTGATTTGAATGCCTCTGTGGTATCCTTCGCTTTTCTTTTGTAAGAGCATTTGTGTTAAGAAAATGTTGCGAACCCTTCGATTAAGAGCTATTCTTTACAGTCTAAAGAATGTTATTTTCGTAAGACTTCAAAATCAAAGAATTTATCAGAAATCGATCCAGTTGCAATTGGTCCATTGATATTCATTTAATGTTAGTTGAACTAATCAGTACATAGAAACGTCTAAATATTCAGTGTATGTTGTCGTGTTATTAAGCTTATAATCAATATGATTATTAGTTTTACACTGGCATACAAACCTTAAAGAAGGATCATTTTCTTCTTTCAAATTGCAAAAAGGTCGCTGAGCATACCCCTTGGCTTTTAATTTAACCTGTTTCGACTTCTTTTTCTGTAGTTCCGTGTATTTGTTCGTAGTTAGAGGTACGTTGTCTACTAAATTAGCATTCAAAGGAGATTTTCCTATTGTTTTGCTTTCCAGTGTGCCAAGAAGGAGAAATGAAACTTGACCTCTCGCACTATTGACATGTTTTCTATTTCCATCTTCTATACAGTCTTTGCTGATTCCATTTAAATTAGGTTCGCATACAAGATCTTTATTGTCAGAAGCTTCATATTCGTTTTGTTCGATGAGTTCATATATTTCTTTGGTAAAGATTTCATCGGATTCGTCCATACACTCGTAGTCTCCTTTGACTCTTCGGTAGTTTTGTTCCGAACATTCCCCCTCCTCCCAAATAGTTATTCTGTTTTGTTCCTGAGACCTGTCTAACCAATCAAAATCAGATTTTGTATCCGTTTTGATGTCTTGTATATTTTTGGTAAAGCTGCGTTTAGCAAATTCCACAAACTTGCTGATGATATCATCAGAATGCATATATCTAATATGATTTCCTAACTGACTATGATGAACAAACGTTAATGGACACAGATTACAGGCAACTGGTGGTTGTTTCGCATGAAAGTTTAAATGAGCCTCTAATTTCAAATCATTTTTAAAGGGAGTATGACAGAATGAACACCAATGCTGTCGATCCATCTCATATAATTGAAATTTAAATGTTTTTTTTTTGCTTCTTATCTTATCTAAAACACAAATAAAGAATTTTCAACGGCTATATGTAATATACTGTACATTTCTGAAACTTATAAATGAATATGCAGTTTAATCCAATATTACATTTTTTAATCAAACACTAATTAATATAGTTTAGTTCAATTTTAAAGTTTTACAATACACAAGCAAATTTTACGTGAAATGCACCTCAAACGAGCTTAAACATGAAACTCACGTGCATTTTACGTGAATTGAGTTTCACATGAATCTCACCTGCATTTTTTACGTGAATTTCACGTGACTTTACGAAACAAATGGTAATTATCATGATTCTAATTTTATTCGAAAATAAAGATGTAATTTGAAAAACTATATTTTGAAACTCCACATGAAAAAAAATCATTTGAGTTTCACTTGAGTTTCACATGAGATTCACATGAAACTCAAGTGAAATCAGTTCTAGTGAGTTTCATGTATAAGCTCGTTTAAGGTGAAATTCACTTTGAGATTAACGTGAAATTCACGTTAGTGAAATTTCCCTGTGTAATGGTACCTCCACATGGATTTTCCAGATTCATTGAAATTATTTTTGGACTAATTACATATGATACAAATGATTTAAGAGACTTGCATCAGACGCACAAAAACAAGTTTAATAGTAGTATATTTTATTGTTGATTCAGTAATCAAATTAGTGTTAGATCTATGAGCTACGACTGAGTTGTCTAGATATTTTCAAATTTACGATACTTGAAAAATGAAAACAGGTAGTTTGTATTTAAAAAAAAAAACGAAGCAAGGTTGTGATATTGAGTAGGAGAAATGAAATTTGGCGTACTTTTGATACTTCGAATTATTACATTGGTTGCAATGAATTACATTTATTTCCCAGTGAAATAAAAACCGATAATTTCACATGTGAAATAAACGTGGTTATTTCACTCCTCTGATGTCATACAACAATAGGCGTTGTCAAGACGTCGATAACGTCGGATCAAAACAAATTGTAAATGCGTAGAAAAAGATATAGTTCCTTACGTTTTCTACTTTATTTCATAAAAAAGCCATTTGCCAATGTAATAAAAAGAATAACTAATCAAAGAATTCAAATATCGAAAAATATTCAACTCGTGACCGAACAACACTGATAATTAACTCATGCGCTACGCGCATTCGTGAATTAATGTGTTGTTCGGTCACTCGTTGAATATTTTTCTCTATTTGAATTATTCGATTAGTTATTCTATAAGCATCCCCACCTTTTTAGAAAGGTTAAACGTTTTTATATATATTCATTGGAAATGCACAGTTGCATTCTACTATTCTAAATATTTTATTTTTCAATAGCCTTTATTATGGATCTCATATAACCAATTTCATAACAAAGGCAAAACTAAACCCGGAAAGGAAATCAGAGCTATACATGAGGAAGATGTAAGTGATTTTATAAGTCATACTCCTTTTCCGTAAAGACACTAAAAAAAAGAACAAACTATTAATCTAAACGTTGATATTTCAATTACGGTCTTCTTTGTCTTTGTCAGATTTACAATAAAATACAAGTTTTTTGTTCACGTCTTTGTCAGATTTATTTGTAGGTTTGTTTGAATTTGTTAGTCACTTTTGTTGTATGTCTATGATGTATGTCTACGCAGTTTTGGCTGTTGAATCCCAATTATTGTCACATTAACCAATTATGTCTTTGGTTTGCTAACCCAGTTTTGTCAATATAACAGAAATATAAACAACTGTCACACAAGTGAGAGGTTTAGCTAGCTATAAAACAAGATTTAACTTACCTTTTCTACGGCAAATGCCTGTACCAAGTCAGGAATATGACAGTTGTTTCCCATTCGTTCCGTTCGTAGATAAAGTCTAACGTTTGATATTATCAGTTTTTATGGTCTTCCTGTTTTTGAATTTACCTTGGAGTTCGGTATTTTTGTTAATACTTTTTTCTTAGTAGGCTAAAATATTCTGAGATACTATATATGTCTTACGTTAAATGTTCAATATAGGTATCAGACCACCAATTCAAAGTCCTTATCTGTTCAACCAAATTTTGCAATTTTCACATCTTACTCAATATTTTACCTTAAGTTTAACGTCATAGAAACCAGGTATTTCCTGAATGGTACATGTATCACCTTTCTACATGCCAATTTTCAACCCATGTTTAAATCTTCTAAGAAAGAACTGCCTTTGGGAAGACAAGTACTACTAAAAATAACCCGTGGTTTTCTGGAAATCTTAAATTAGTATACTATGGAGCGCATTTATCCTCAATTTTTAATGCAAACTCATAGACAAGTAAATTTTGGCTCAAAATGGTCAAATATATTTTTCTTTCACCAAAAGTTTCATTTCTGCAAATTTGTTGGTTAGTTTAAGAAACAATGACGTCAAAGGCACTATTTTGTGTCAGAGTAGGGCTACTGTTACATACGTTCTAAATTGGAGGGATTGAATTGGTGGTCTGACACCTATATGCACAGGTTGCATTGACACAGAATGATAATTAATTTCACTTACTTTCATGACCTTTTGATACCAGACTAGTTGTCCGATTCTCGTTATTTTACTTTTATGACCTTTTGATACCAGAACAGTTGTCCGATTCGTTATTCTACTTTTATGACCTTTTGATACCAGAACAGTTGTCCGATTCGTTATTTTACTTTTTAGACCTTTTGATACCAGAACAGTTGTCCGATTTGTTATTCTACTTTTATGACCTTTTAATACCAGAACATTTGTCTGATTCGTTATTTTACTTTTTAGACCTTTTGATACCAGAACAGTTGTCTGATTCGTTATTTTACTTTTTAGACCTTTTGATATCAGAACAGTTGTCCGATTCGTTATTCTACTTTTATGACCTTTTGATACCAGAACAGTTGTCTGATTCGTTATTCTACTTTTTAGACCTTTTGATATCAGAACAGTTGTCCGATTCGTTATTTTACTTTTTAGACCTTTTGATACCAGAACAGTTGTCCGATTCGTTATTCTACTTTTTAGACCACTTGATACCAGAACAGTTGTCTGATTCGTTATTTTACTTTTTAGACCTTTTGATATCAGAACAGTTGTCCGATTCGTTATTCTACTTTTATGACCTTTTGATACCAGAACAGTTGTTCGATTCGTTATTCTACTTTTTAGACCTTTTGATATCAGAACAGTTGTCCGATTCGTTATTTTACTTTTTAGACCTTTTGATACCAGAACAGTTGTCTGATTCTCGTTATTTTACTTTTTAGACCTTTTGATACCAGAACAGTTGTCCGATTCTCGTTATTTCACTTTTATGACCTTTTGATACCAGAACAGTAATGTCCGATTCTCGTTATTTTACTTTTTAGACCTTTTGATACCAGAACAGTTGTCCGATTCGTTATTCTACTTTTTAGACCTTTTGATACCAGAACAGTTGTCCGATTCTCGTTATTTTACTTTTTAGACCTTTTGATACCAGAACAGTTGTCCGATTCTCGTTATTTTACTTTTTAGACCTTTTGATATCAGAACAGTTGTCCGATTCGTTATTCTACTTTTTAGACCTTTTGATACCAGAACAGTTGTCCGATTCGTTATTCTACTTTTTAGAACTTTTGATACCAGAACAGTTGTCCGATTCGTTATTCTACTTTTATGACCTTTTGATACCAGAACAGTTGTCCGATTCGTTATTCTACTTTTTAGACCTTTTGATAACAGGACAGTTGTCCGATTCGTTATTCTACTTTTTAGACCTTTTGCTACCAGAACAGTTGTCTGATTCGATATTCTACTTTTATGACCTTTTGATACCAGAACAGCTGTCCGATTCTCGTTATTCTACTTTTATGACCTTTTGATACCAGAACAGTTGTCCGATTCTCGTTATTCTACGTTTTAGACCTTTTGATACCAGAACAGTTGTCCGATTCGTTATTCTACTTTTTAGACCTTTTGATACAAGAACAGTTGTCCGATTCGTTATTCTACTTTTTAGACCTTTTGATACCGGAACAGTTGTCCGAATCGTTATTCTACTTTTTAGACCTTTTGATACCAGAACAGTTGTCTGATTCGTTTTTTTACTTTTTAGACCTTTTGATACCAGAACAGTTGTCTGATTCGTTATTCTACTTTTATGACCTTTTGATACCAGAACAGCTGTCCGATTCTCGTTATTTTACTTTTATGACCTTTTGATACCAGAACAGTTGTCCGATTCTCGTTATTCTACGTTTTAGACCTTTTCATACCGGAACAGTTGTCCGATTCGTTATTCTACTTTTATGACCTTTTGATACCAGAACAGTTGTGCGATTCGTTATTGTACTTTTTAGACCCTTTGATACCAGAAAAGTTGTCCGATTCTCGTTATTTTACTTTTATGACCTTTTGATACCAGAACAGTTGTCTGATTCGTTATTCTACTTTTTAGAACTTTTGATACCGGAACAGTTGTCCGAATCATTATTCTACTTTTTAGACCTTTTGATACCGGAACAGTTGTTCGATTCGTTATTCTACTTTTTAGACCTTTTGATACCGGAACAGTTGTCCGATTCGTTATTTTATTTTTTAGACCTTTTGATACCGGAACAGTTGTTCGATTCGTTATTCTACTTTTTAGACCTTTTGATACCGGAACAGTTGTCCGATTCGTTATTCTACTTTTATGACCTTTTGATACCAGAACAGTTGTCCGTTTTGTTATTCTACTTTTATGACCTTTTGATACCAGAACAGTTGTCCGATTCGTTATTTTACTTTTATGACCTTTTGATACCAGAACAGTTGTCCGATTCGTTATTCTACTTTTATGACCTTTTGATACCAGAACAGTTGTCCGATTCTCGTTATTTTACTTTTTAGACCTTTTGATACTAGAACAGTTGTCTGATTCGTTATTCTACTTTTTAGACCTTTTGATACCAGAACAGTTGTCCGATTCGTTATTTTACTTTTTAGACCTTTTGATACCAGAACAGTTGTCCGATTCGTTATTTTGATACCTGAACAGTTGTCCCATTCGTTTTTTTGATACCAGAACAGTTGTCCGATTCGTTATTTTGATACCAGAACAGTTGTCCGATTCGTTATTTTGATACCAGAACAGTTGTCCGATTCGTTATTTTGATACCAGAACAGTTGTCCCATTCGTTATTTTGATACCAGAACAGTCGTCCCATTCGTTATTTTGATACTAGAACAGTTGTCCGATTCGTTATTCCGATTCGTTATTTTGATACCAGAACAGTTGTCCGATTCGTTATTTTGATACCAGAACAGTTGTCCGATTCGTTATTTTGATACCAGAACAGTTGTCCGATTCGTTATTTTGATACCAGAACAGTTGTCCGATTCTCGTTATTTTACCGATTGTGTCCTATTCCAAATTTTAACATGGTTGATGATACATGCATATCAGGATACGCTTACCTTGTCATAAGCAACACGACGGGTGCCACATGTGGAGCAGGATCTGCTTACCTTCCGGAGCACTTGAGATGACCCCCAGTTTTTGGTGGGGTTCGTGTTGCTTAGTCTTTAGTTTTCTATGTTGTGTCATCTGTACTATTATTTGTCTGTTTGTCTTTTTATTTTTGGCCATGGCGTTGTCAGTTTGTTTTCGATCTGTGAGTTTGACTGTCGCTCTGGTATCTTTCGTCCCCCTTTGTCAACGCAGTTGATCTTACGATTCAATCAGTTTTTTTTATGTACCCTTAATTTGTGTCTTCTTTATCTATTTACGAGATTGTAACATCGGTAAAATTCTGTTGTTTTAATACTGATGAAAGACTAGTTTGTTGTTTAAAACCGATATTCGACCTCAAGGTATAAATATTTGATAAGTAATAAGTATCTTTCTTATAAACGAGAGGCGAATGATACCAAAGGGACATTCAAACTCATAAGTAATAAATAAACTGACAAAACATGAAAAAGATTTTTTACAGATAGCTGTAGTCATAACCCGTACAAAGTTTAAGTTTAGTTGCTTCGTTCCCCATTTCGCTACTTTCCATTCTAGATATATGTATTTTGTATCAGCGTAATAAACTTGTTTTCACCTTTGATGTATAGTGCTCGGCTATCTAATGTAATTTACAAATTTCTGAATATAATTTCTTGCATTTTTTTACCTTTTCGCTTATATTAGTTCTTGGACGTTTGTATTGGAAAATAAAAAAATAAAAAACAAAACAAATTGGTAATAGATTAGTCCTGACATGCCACGAAAAATTACCATTTCAGTATTTTGAATAAAAGAAGAAATGATGGAACTTTTACTAAGGTTTAACAAACTGTTAAGTTGTGAATACCAATATTGTTTCATTGATAATACACACTCCATCATGAGTTCATTGATTTGTGCAAAAATATTTGTTAAACATGTAAAAACCATTCTGAGATATACAAAACTACGGATTTTTAATGCAGGTTCACAACAATGTGTAGTAACTGTATACCAATATTGCTGCCATCTATTTTATAGAACCCATTCTGAGTTACCAATTTACTGATTTATACGATCAGAATACAAAAGAGAGGCGAAGAATAAAAAACGGATATTCTCAAAAGTCGAAAATAAACTGATAATGCCATGGCTAAAACGAAAAAGACAAACAAACAACTGTACACAGAACACAACATAGAAAACCAAAGACTGAACAACAAGAACCCCACCAAAAACTGGGGGTGATCGCAGGTGCTCCGGAAGGGTAAGCAGATCCTGCTCCATATGTGACAACCGTTTATAAAGTTTTATAATTTTCTATAATTGTCTATAATTTTCTATAATTTTCATTATCAGTCTTATAGTTTATAATCTTAAAATATTCATAATTGACCAAAAAAAAGAGTTAAGAATATGATAAAAATTCTATGCGACTGTTATACAAGTGAGAGGTTTAGCTAGCTATAAAACCAGGTTTAATTCACAATTTGCTACATAAGGAAATGCCTGTACCAAGTCAGGAATATGACAGTTGTTTTCCATTCGTTTGATGTGTTTGAGCTTTTGATTTTGCCATTTTATAAAGGACTTTTCGTTTTGAATTTCCCTTGGAGTTTAGTATTTTTGTTATTTTCTTTTTTATCCTAGGTATAAACATGATGATTTCTAATACTGCATTTATAGCTACAAAATGGGTAATTTAGAAATATTTAAATGTCGAATATAAAAATTGCACTTTCAATATCGAATGTAGTTAGTAAGGTATAAAAAAGGAATTGCTTATATATAGTAAACGTAAAGGACGCCAAGACGTATATTCAAGTTACTTACATTTTCTGCTAGGTAGCTAGATGTGTTATTAACGACAACAGCATATTTTCTTTGCATGATTGCATTTGAAATTATGATATTTTACTCACCACTATTAGGCTCTTTCACATTTTAAGCTAAATATCAACATCACACAATTTTTTCTTGCACGTGTGGCATAACCTACAGGCCGGTACGATTAATTTAATTAAGATCATCTCTAGCCTATTGGCTCTTTAATTGACCAATGGGTACGATACAGATAAAATCTTGGAAATTTTACTAAAGAACACAAATGGTGTTGTAATTTCATACCTATTTTCACCTTTGTCAATTTTGAACTACAATGGTGAGTTGTTAGACGTAAAATAATACTTATTGTAATTTCCAAGAATCTCAAAATGTAAAACGATCTCCAATTTGTATTTCCATGGCAAATGAAAATTGGTGCACCAACAGGGTCCCTCTTAGCAATCTTGTCTGGGCTGCTTGGTGTTACGTAATAATGTGTGTTTTTTTGTAAAAAGAGAAGTAAATAACATACCACAAAACATATAACAGAAAAGTAAATGTTATGTAACACAAGCTGCACCAGAAAATAGAGGTAAAACTTGTAAAAAATGTGAAAGAAGAATAATGCAAGATTCAGCTTTGGTTTGAATTGCCTTTTTAAATCAGGTTGATTACAAGTGGCTAGTAAGCAAATATGCATTTGTGTGTATGCACAAGAGGGATATCAATATGTTGAAAGAAGTATATAAATACCTTCCTTGTAGAGTTTAAACGCATTAAACGAATCATGTTATTACCGAAGTATTCATTGGGCTCAAAATAATGCAAGTTGTTTGTTGTCTAAATTAATTTCATGTTAAGGAAATTCGCTCTTTTCTTTTCATAATTTAATTACATATCATTCAAAAAGCCATATTTAGAAATCTTATAAAATCCTTGTTATTTTTTCATAGTTTTTGAAAGAAAAAAGGTGCCAATGATAAATTGATGAAAAGTCTAAAGAGAATCATTTCTCGCCAATTTTTAATTATGGCTTATAATTCAAAAACAAGGACACGGACCCTTCCTTTTTTCTGTTTTTTTTAAGTTCTGTTATGTTTAAACTATCAATTTATAACAGTCTTTTAAAAAACTTGTTATTTTGAAACAGAGAAGCGAACATCCTTAAATCATACATATTGTCTATAAATCTCTAGTGTTGACGTTTGACACTGGAAGCTATGACGCCATACTTTTAAGTTCCAAATATAAGAAAACGGATCAGCGGATTTCCTATTTATGAAATTATTAAACCGAAAAGATGTCTTAAATTGAATGCTTTAATTCTTTTGTATTATAATGGCGATAGCTGTATTCTATTTGAAGTTTGGCTTACTTAAAACCAACGTAAAATATGTAAAATGTTAGTAGCCCATGCTTAGAATACAGTACAAGTATCACATAGTCTGACTTTGAACATAGAGAATATCTTTAACTATAATACTCCGTCACGAGGAGTTAGTGCTTAATATAATCTTCTGGATTTATAAATAATGGACTCATCATTTAATACCATGCTTAAAATTTTGTACGCCAGACGAACTTTTCGTCTACAAAAACGCTCGAATCAAAAAGGTGCAAAAGGCCAAATATAATTCGAAGTTGAAGAACATTGAAGACATAAAATTCCGAAAAGTTTTGCCAAATACAGCTAAGGTAAATTATATCTAACGTGAGTATCAAATGTTTTACGGATTTGTATACATGATGAAACATATAACATTTAAATATTTCCCACTTACCAGAAAAAAAAATTAATTTGACAAAAAATCAAGATTAAAAAAAAATTAATGCATTTGTGTATGTAAAACCTTTAACGTGCTTTCGTTTTTGCCATGCATTTGTCGGTATCTCTTATGATTATGGGTTTTGTTATCTCCTTTTAGTATCTTCCGCCTCCTTTTTATTTTTCGTGAGTAAAGTATGAGTTGAAATTCTAAAAATCTCTTATAAGTGCTAGCGTTACTTAGCTTAATATGGAACAAAGAAGCAATTCAGTGATTAGTATATAAACAAAACAGCAAAATATAGAAAAAGAAAGTTACACGGGTTGCTCATTTCCAAAATCCCGCTTTTTTATAATTTCTCCAAATTCCCGCTTTTTTATAATTTTCTCCTACTTCTCGCTTTTTTCCCTTTCTTTCCAGAACCCATTTTTAACACCTTATGTCCCACATCTTTTTGTACCCCCTTATCCCACATTCCCACATTTTACCCCAAATATCCCATATTCCAAAAGCTAGGATTCCCGTCATAAATGTTCAACTGTTATTTTTGTACTTTTTATGCTTCTTTCTAGTCTGTTGTTTGATTTCTTTTTCTAAGTATGAAAGTTATTTTCAAAAATAATATTGATAGCTATGGGAAAAGAATATTCCATAAAGACTGCAAAGAAACCAAAAAGTTAACGTTTTCATTTTTTACACATATGGTTTTAGTAGTATATCTGAACAATTGATATACGTAACTTCTCGGATAATAATAATACTAATAATAATGACTTTATTTAAAGAGGTGACCCAAGTAGAAATTATCAAAGATGAAAATGAGCTAATAAAACCTTTCCCTCAAACATCATTGTTCATTTTTTCAAAGAAAGAATATTATGTTACACATTCATGAAATATTGTCTTTGGGGAGAATATTTCTTTGGAGTTCGGTATTTTTGTTATTTTACTTTTTTCATAGTTTTAGTTACATGATACATTATCACTATAGTTTAATTGGCTTACAGGTAATACTGACAGTTAGGAATTGATGATCTTCAGATTAGCGGATGTGTCTGTCAATAGTTTGGTATCTCTAATCATAGTTCAAAGCTACAGTATTCTATGGTAAGCCGTTTTACTACTTATTATAACTTCAAGATATCTAATAAACTTTATAAGGTATCTCATATATTTTTCTGTATAAGATATTTTATAAACTATTTAAGATATCTTATAAACTATATGAGATATCTTATAAAATATATAAGATATCTTATAAAATATATAAGATATCTTATAAACTATACAAGATATTTTATAAACTATATGAGATATCTTAAAAAAGTTAAAAATATTTATAAGATATCTTATAAACTTTGATATCTTATAAACTTTATAAGATATCTTATATACTTAATGAGATATTTATATACTTCATAAGATATCTTATATACTTAATGAGATATTTATATACTTTATAAGATATCTTATATACTTAATGAGATATTTATATACTTTATAAGATATCTTATAAACACGACGTCAACCATTATTTTTAAATAACAAACGCTCCCTACATCCGAACCCCAAAAATGTAACTGCATTTGATACCTTACACGATAGAAACATATTGATTATAATTAAAAAGTAATTATAATCAAATGTTATAGTTAATAAAAATAAATTAGGCCAGGGCTCCTGATGAAGATGAACGGCCTTGGTCGAACTTGACCTAAATGATATCCGAAACACCAGGTGTAATATCATCAAATTGAAGAAATTCATAGAATAAAATTGAGAATGGAAATGGGGAATGTGTCAAAGAGACAGCAACCCGACTATAGAGCAGACAACAGCAGAAGGCCACCAATGGGTCTTCAATGCAGCGAGAAACTCCTACACCCGGAGGCGTCCTTCAGCTGGCCCATAAACAAATATGTATACTAGTTCAGGGATAATGGACGTCATACTAAACTCCAAATTATACACAAGAAACCAAAATTAAAAATGATACAAGATTAACAAAGGCCAGAGGCTCCTGACTTGGGACAGGCGCAAAAATGCGGCGGTGTTAAACATGTTTTTTTGAGATCTCAACCCTCCCCCTATACCTCTAGCCAATGTAGAAAAAACAAACGCACAACAGTACGCACAGTAAAACTCAGTTTAAGAGTTGTCCGAGTCCGATGTTAGAATAGGAAACAAAAGAAAATAAACAAAATGACAATAATACATAAATAACAATAGACTACTAGCAGTTACTGACATGCCAGCTCCAGACCTCAATTAAACTGAATGAAAGATTATGTCTTCAGCATATGAATATCAGGCACAATCCCTCCTGTTAGGGGTTTAGTATTATACCATCATAAAATATATGAGAAGAACATAACCCGTGTCATGCCAACAACTGGTTTTAGAATAAATGTGTTTAATTCCGATGCAAAGACTCTATAAGTGAATCAATATTAAAGCCAAAATATGCAATCTTTAATGACCTGACAACAGTATCGTAACTATATCCCTTCTTAATAAGTCTGTTTAAAGGTTTTGTTAGCTTTTGAGGTGAATACTGACATTTTTGTGCTTTGTAAAGAATATTACCATAAAAGATTGGATGTGAAATACCCGAACGTATAA